GATCAAGACAAGGTTAAATGATCAAGATTAAGGATCACTGCTCTCTTTGTCTCTTTATATTTATCTTACTAGGTATTGATACTGCTGGTGACGGCCACTGCACTCCCATCTTCAGCAAGGACAGACAGGTGAGATGTGCCATGATCATCAGGTACACCATCACTGTCCTCCTGCTCATAGTAACTGCTTTGTTTGAGGTCATCTTTAATCTTACTCCTGATGTTGTCTGCAAGGCTCTCTGAGGTCATTCTTTTTACAATCTGTGAAATAAGATTGACAAACTTCATAAATATAGGAACAGTGAAAGGCTTTGAGAAAATAACATCTGCCATAACATAAGTTACTCCTGTCAGATCAGATGTGGCAATAGGTAATACAATTCAGAAATGATGCATTTGAGATATGAGTTGGCTCAAAGGTAAAGTTCACCCAAAACGGGCAATTCTGTAATTTATTCACCTTCTGACCATGACGTGACCCTTGCATCAGTTCGATGTCATTAACAGCAGGTGTCTTTAGATCTTGTGTGTCATATCACTGCTTACATGATGTTTGGTTCAAATATTTGGAAGAGAACGTTATCAGTAAATAATAATATAACAATCAGTGAAGAAAAGTGTAGATAAGACAGGAAACAATGGATCAGATTAAGTGGAACATGATCAGCGAAGGACCTTGAGTCAGGACTCAAACTGGGGTGGCCAGAACGCTGCCAACAACACTATTGCTTCAACACCTGTGGTACTTTTTCGATGTGGTCGGAGCCTGAAAGAGCCTGAACTAACCCATAATAACCTGTAGATATCTGATAGAGGCCCAAGGAATCCATAAGTAGAGCTGAACTCACCTCAGTGAGGTTTTCATAATCTGGGTCTCCCAGTTTTCTCTTCTGGACATCAGCGAAGTGGAAAGCCTCTATCATACGATGATAGGTCAAAGTCTTCTCTGTTGTGGACACACTGCTGCTTGAGATGTTGTAACCTGAAATGAAATGTTTCATTATTTGAACTGAACCTTAGAAAATTGTAAAATATAATATTAAAGAGACAGACTCTTAAAATCACTGTGTGTGTGTCTGTTATCTAATAGAAGAGCAAGTATTTTGGTCTTTTACAGCTGTTGCTTTTCAGACTGTATGACATGATCTCAAAGTTTAAATGGTGAATAGATGAAGTGTCAAGTTAAGTCAAGTCACCTTTATTTATAAAGCGCTTTTAATAATACAGATTGTGTCAAAGCAGCTTTACAGTATTAAATAGGAAAATAGTGTGTCTTTAATTCTTACTATGTGCTTTTATTGTTGCTTTTGTTTTTGTGTTGAGTTATATTAGCATGTTTTGTGAAGTTCAGAGTTGATCTGTTTATTTATTTTGTTGATTCTCACCATTGTTGAGATTCATACGCTGATTCTTGATATGTGTGTTTCATTGCACATCACAGCTTTTTTTTTTTAAACAATCTTTCATAACCGCCTGCTTGTTCTTTTGTTTTAATGTATTGTTATAGTATTGTCTTGGTAGAAGAAAAGACTTCGAATAAAATCAGTGATCCTGATGTTTAAAGATGATTGTCACCAGCTAAACATAACCAACAATACAGCGATTTCAGCCACAGTTTTCATTTTTATTGCCACAACAAATGTTTATAAACACATGGTTACCACAGCCAATAAATTATTAATGCTATAAAATCACGGTTCAACAGCCCAACTAAAGCAGACACTGATCTCCATCATGGTAGTGTCAAAAAAAAAAAAAAACATAAACTTCTGTTAATTCTCAATAACATCTTCTGTAGAGGTCTGACAGAAACAGCGTCAGTGTGGTTAGTAATGTGCACTGTAAAACCCAACAAGTTAGGGTAACTCAAATGGTTAACTTATTGGGTTTTACAGTGTATCAGTGCCTTTATTTTGTCTCAAAATGCTAACCAGTAATTTTTTTTTTCTAAGGCCCGTTTATAAAAAAATACTTAAATGTCCTTATTGAACTATGGCCTAATCCTGGTTTAGTCTAAGCCCTGTCTGTGAAACCAGGCCTTAATGTCTTTTTTTCAGTCTAAGGTTGTGGCTGAAGTTGAAGTTGTAATTCTTTTTTGTCTTTCATTCAGTGATTCTGCTTGTTAACAGCAGCTGTTCATCTCTAAAGCACAATCATCACTTAATAATTCAAATAATTATCTATAAGGAGAGTAAATATTGAACTGAACTGTATTAATGTGTTCTTGCACAAGAGAGATCTGTTAGTTTAATGTAGTTTTGTGGGTCACCATTGTGCTGGAGAGTAGAGCCTGTGCTTCAGTCAATGATGAGCCACAAACACTGATGTTCTGCTGCTTTATTTAAAGACAGTAACTGTGGAGCTGATGCAGTGATGGTTTCTTTGTTAAGTACTTAAACACATACATGTGTGTTATAGCTGATGATGAACTGCAGCGATTTGAGTTAGTCATGTTTTTAGTTGTTTTACTGTTACACATTAAGTGTTTGCAGTCTTATACTAAGAAATATTCTTTCTCAGTGGACTCAAATGAAATGTTAACCAAAAGTTTACACACTTTCACAACAGTGAAACATCTAAATTATACTTAATTTAGTGAATTGAGTTCACTAAACATACACACAGTACGCAGATGCACACTCACTAACCTTTGAGTATGTTGAGTATCAGAGCGAGCACAGGTCCACCGAATGGAGCATCAGGAGCAAGAAATATGTATTTCCCCACAGTGAAGTTTAATGCATACTCATTCAGCACTGGCTTATAACCCTTTAGATCCTCACGTGTTATTATCCCTCCTGTAGCACAAGAAACAAAGATTCAGACAGATTTGCATGAGTCCTTAGATATGAATAGAGTCAAGTTTAAGCATTAAAAACCTGCAGCCTTGATATCATCCAGTATATCCTGAGTCAGTGACCCATCGTAAAATGCATCTGGTCCTTCTTCTGCTATCTTCTTATAGGTATGAGCTAGTTGGAGAAATCTTATTGTGTCATTTTCCTTTAAGATGCTCTTGTTGTGTGAGCCACAAAAAACTTCACTGGAAAGAATAGAAAGACAAGAGCAAAAGATATAGAAACACTGTATGTACTGCAACTGACCCTTCGCAAAAACCCGCCCTCCTTAGTTATTGTTGCTATGTCCAACAAGACATGCCACTCTCACACTAAACATCATGTTCTCACGCAGTAAAAAATACATTGTGGAGCAAAGAGGAAACTGACAACATGCCGACAGACAAGCAGGTTACTTTTCGTATGAAACAAGGCTACAAAATTGTCTTTTTTTTAAGAAATTCAAACAATAAATATAATTTTGTGGCTCTTTAATGTGTCGTGACAGATCGCTGTAGCGCTTCAGTTCAAGTGGCACATGAACTGATCATCTCTTCATATTTACTTAAAGCACGAAATAAACATGAATGAACATCAGAACATATTTTGTTTCAACCACGGAAATATGTCAATACACACAATTTTTTAGGTTTAAGTCTGCTAAAGTTAATCTACTCTCTGATTTGTTTATCGGGCAAGATTGCGTATTCTGCAATGGCCATATCGCCTGTCAATCAAGCTCCCTGCGAATGGTCAATTACTTTATTATCCATGTTCTATTTATCATTGTTATATTATATTTCACTCTTAAGACTCAGTCTTTATGAGTGAGTCGTCGAGTCATTCATTGACCGATTTATTCAAAAACACATTCATTTAGTGTTACTGTTGGGAAAAAACTGTTGGAAAAAACAAAAAAACATTGGCATATTTGAATTGTTAATAACTGTTTAATAATGGACTTTTGTTTGTGTATTCTAGAAGAAGAAATTTGTAAGATTATTTGGTGCATGCGGATACAGCTACCTCTGAAACAAATCCAAAAACAATTAAAAGGGCCAATGGGATTTTTTCCCCCATGAAGACATTGTTTTGCTCGTTGCAATAATAATAATAATAATAATAATAATAAATGTTAATGTTAATTTTTTTAAGTTTGTAATTTATTCTAAGAACAGGAATTAGATATTAGGCTTTTTATGTATTGTTCAACCAATGTGGTATATTTACTTTCTTGTCCTTGTGGTCTTAAATATGTGGGTGAGACCAAACAACAACTAAGATTTTATATCCGTGAACTCAGAAGTGCAATTAATAGAGCTGAAAGTAAATCACCAGTTGCTCGACATTTAAATTAATGCAGTTAATGAATTGTCTTTTTGGGGAATAGATATGGTGCTTCCGATGTGCTATACAAATTTGTAACAGAAATTATTACAAACTGAAAGTAAATGGATTTTTACCTCAATACTGAAAAACCACATGATTTTAATTAAGATTTTAATCTGTCTACTTTTCTGGGAAGGCATATATTTTCAATATGTTTGTTAATTGTATTATTATTTTTTTAATGATCAATAAATATGTTTTTTTTTTTTTAGAATTCATCTGTCAGAAAGACAGCTATCACTGAGAAAGTATGTTTTGTTTTAATTTATAAAAAAATAGCCTAGTTTTTTGGCATATGACATATTCTTACCACAATGCTGCATTATTCAGAATTGTGCCACTAGTCTCATTGATGGCCAAGGCCAAGGCCCTGCCGACCTGAAATCCATCTAATGCCAGCTTTATACTGGGCTCAAACAGCTCCTTCCATTGCAGTCTGCCATGTCTTTTGTGTGCCAACTCATAACCACGCAGCAGTCCTGGTGTACCTATAAATAATCCTGCCATTCATGACAAAACACAGAGGAGTGGTCTAGTCATTCAAGGGTTAAAGTGAGAAGAAATCAACAGATAGATTCACTTTGCTATTTTAATGATAAATAAGAACAGCTCTTATGTGCACAACCTTCTGATTCTGTGCTGTAAAACCAACATGGAGACTGGATTTGGGGTTATAGATTTATGAGGGTTTACCTGGTTTTGCGTTCTTTGGATATTTGCCAAACATGTTCTCTGAAGCACTCATTGGAGCAGTTTCTCTTGCATTTATTGTCTCCACCTTTCCTGAGGGTGAAAACATGAAACTTTTACACAAAAAGGCGGCCCAGTGGTCAGCTTCAAGAGAGCAAACATATATCTGTGTTCGAGAAAACAACAGTCCAAGGCAAGCTTTGGATTCAAATTATTATAAAACTTTTATTCAAATGGATAATTCTTATAGAAAACGTTTGAAAAATACACACAGTGGGCTGCAAACCCACATATTCCGGCAACAAATGCCTTCTTCAGGGTGTAATCTACAAACATATCAATGCCTGAGAAAAGAGCTCTCACCTAGAACAGTCACATTAGACACACTTGATCAAATGAAGTAGCACATCATGGTAATTATTATCAGAAGGACCAGTGTACACTGATTCCCCTGACCACTCAACCTACATAACAGCTTTAGTGTTGTGCATCCTCATATTATATACTGCCGACTGTAATAAGTTTTCCACACAGTGGGCTGCAAACCCACATATTCCGGCAACAAATGCCTTCTTCAGGGTGTAATCTACAAACATATCAATGCCTGAGAAAAGAGCTCTCACCTAGAACAGTCACATTAGACACACCTGATCAAATGAAGTAGCACATAATGATAATTATGATCAGAAGGACCAGTGGACACTGATTCCCCTGACCACTCAACCTACATAACAGCTTTAGTGTTGTGCATCCTCATATTATATACTGCCGACTGTAATAAGTTTTTCAGAAAGCGCCTAGCCAGCTATGTTTACACATACGAGGAATGTGTTTTCGTGACAGAAGCTTCCACAGTGTAACAGAATGACAGTGACAGAACAAAAAACACAGATAATAAAAAATAAAATAAAATAAAAAACAGAACAAGTAAATTAAGGAATAAAAAATATACAAATGGACAATTGTATGTACAAGGCTGACTGGAATGTTCTTGCCTAGCCTAAAGTTTCCCACACAGGCAAGGGTCAACTGCACACGAGCAGGAGACGAAGTTTACTGCAATGCGGACGAATCTCGTTGTACCCCTGGAAGAGCTGTCCTCTGTCTTGGAAAAAGCACACTTCTACAGAGCTTCTTCATTCTGAAGTTCTCGCAGTGTACAAAGCCAACAAGTTTGTATCACTTCACACATTTCATACTTCTGCTAGACACAAAATAATATGTTTTGAAAAATGCTGGCAATCAGACAGTTGCTGATAACCATGGACTTCCATAATATATTTTGTTTCCATACTATGGAAGTCAGTGGCTACCAGCAACTGTTCAATTACCAACATTCTTCAAAAGATCTTTTGCGCTCAACAGAAGAAAGAAAATCATACAGTTGGATGAGTAAATGATGACAGAATTTAAATTTTTGGGTGAATTTTCACTTTAAGTTGATATCACTGGTGTACAAGCCCTAAGCCTAACCTAAACATAAACCTTATATTCGGCCCTAAAATCTGGTTGATTAAAAAAATGTTGTTCGAGAACTAGTAAAGATGTTGAGCCAGAAAACTGCTGGGTAAAAACACATATAGTGCACAGTATAAATGAGTACACACCCTCTGAAACTGAAATTTAGCAGTTACTCTTTACTTAGAAGACATGTTAGGGTTCTTTAGAGATATGATATTCCAGCACGTCTGCTTGATGAATGAAAGAAGAATGTTAAAATTATTCAGGAAAATACTTTTTTTTTAATTGATAAAATGTTGTCTTGCAAAAATGAGTACACCCTCCTGAAAGTTACTAAATAAAACAAAATAAAAATGTATGGAGTAAGGATAAGGCAGGTTTTGATCAACAGGTAAGTATGTTGAACCAAAACTGTTAATGAAAAGTAATTTCTTGGCAATTAAAAGTGTTATATAACCCACTGAATAATGCTCAGACGTAATGCTGACAACAACGAAATCACTTGGGAGAGAACTGTCTGGAGATTTATTTCTTATCATAAAAGAGGACAATGGAACAAGAGGAATACTAAGTTATTGTTTTAAGTGTGAAAATATAGCCAAAGTAATACAGAAATTCAAAAACGATGGACTTGTGAAAAGGCCCCTGAAATAATTAGGTCTTCACTTTAAGTTTTCATTTAGTGACGAGTCTCAGAGCCGGCAAAAGCTATGATAAGAGTGACACTTTATCTCACAGAGTCAGACGCAGTCTGCAGAAGTGACATGCATGGTTGTTTATCCACACCAGAACTAACTACTGTAGCCAGAGCATGATAAACTCATTTAACCTTTTCTAAGGCCCATATTTACAAAATATTTGTAATCATATTTTTGATTTTCATTTCGGATCTAACAGCGTCCAAAATATTCTGGTGTTGCTAGAGGAGGAGTACAGAGGGATGTGTCTGGTTTCCACAGAGATGTTCAGTGGTAGTAAAGCACTTATATAGGGATGCATGGGTGCTGAAGGGGTCATCAATTCACACACCACTGTACAAAATACCAATACAATAACCTAAAAACAAAAGATTCTACTCTCTCCTGATGCCCTGCATTGTTGGGCATTTTTTGAACATGACAATGAAGATACTCATGCTCCCAAGGTGAAAATCATTCAGTGGACATGTTCACTCTTAAAAATAAAGGTGCTTCACGATGCCACAGAAGAACCTTTTTGTCTAAATGGTTCCATAAAGAACCTTTAACATCTGAAGAAACTTTCTGTTTCACAAAAGGTTCTTTGTGGCGAAAGAAGGTTCTTCAGATTACAAAAACGCAAGAAAGAGATGGTTCTTTAAAGAACCTTTGACTGAATGGTTCTTTGTGGAACCAAAAATGGTTATTCTATGGCATCGCTTGAAGAACCTTTTGAAGCACCTTTATTTTTAAGAGTGTATTTCACTCAATCTTAACACTCTTGAGCAGCTGTGGGGGATACTGTACTGTAGAGATGAGCTGTGCAACACTCCCCATTAAAGACCAGAGCATTTAAGGTGCTCGTCCTCCAAGAGTTAAGCAGGACAGATGTGACAATTTGTCATGAACCTGTACATTCAGTGCCAAGAAAGGTCAGAGCAGTATATGTAGAGTTATGGAGGACATATTAAGTACTAGAATATTACACTTTGCTGAACTAAATCTAGGGTGTACTGGTTTCTGTAATCCTTCGTTTAAACAAAATTGGCTAAGCTACTTACTTTACAGATATTAATGGCATATATTTCTCTGTTTTATTAAGAATAA